CCTGCGCGTTGACATAAGGAGTGTCACTTGGTCTTCGCAGTCGTCTTGGTCTTCTCTATAATTAAAATCCTATTGTGGGGCTATCCCAAGATGGTTGGGATTGGGCCCAGTTTGCCTTTCGCACTGGTTGGGATTGGTCCCAGTTGGTTGGGATTGGGCCCAGTGGGTTGGGATTGGGCCCACATGCCCCGGGGACCCCCCCCCCCGGGACCCCCCCCCTGGGGAAGGGATCAAAGGGAAGGGGTTTCCCTTCGACTCGATTACGACACTGCTAGATTTTTCTCTCGCTCACGAGCTTGAGAAGGAAGCTGCAGGGAAAGGGGACGACGGAGGCGACGACCGACGGAGACGACGACTCGAACAGCCAAGCCCCTCGCACACGCCGTGCGTAGGAGGGCGTATGCGTCGTGCTGCCGTCCGTGGAGAGGTATGTGGAGGTTCCTTACCACCAGCTGTGCTGCTGCTGCTGCTGCTGCTGCTGCCGCTGCAGAGGTCTGGTATGGCAAAAGAGCAGCTGGTGGTCTCCTGTCTGTCGTAGAGCAAAAATGAGAGAGACTGAGCTGTGGGGTGTGGTGGCGTACTAATGGGCCGCTGTAAGGCTGGTCCCATCTGGAGGGGTGAGTCTCCTGCGTCGCCGTAGTGTGCTCGTGCTGGTCGGCAACATCAAATGGCGGCCAGGGCGCCCACGGGCGGTCAGCGCCGTAGGTGGTGGGCATTTCGGAGCCTTGTGCTTGCTGGTCGTTCTGGTCCGTGGGGTTGGATTGCCCTCCTCCCTGGGGACTTCTGGTCGGTGCACCTGCCCATGCGGCTTGCATGGAGTGATTGGGGTTGTGGGCAGTCGTGGCTGCGTCGTGCTCGGTGATCGTCGTGTGGATTGGTGGTGGTGTCGGATCGTGGTTCGAGTGAGTGAGCCCGTGCTGAGCCTGGAGTTGGTGTTGCTGACGTTCCGCTCGGTGCTGTTTGCGGTGCAGGTTGGTCGTGCTGCGGCTTGAAGTGTGGGCTGGCGCTCGCGCTTGCGTTGGGCTGCTTGGAGTCGATGCCGATTGGTGGCTGCCCTGTCGCGGACTGCGGATCGCGTGGGTGCTCGGAGGTGGCGGCGTGGGGCTGCGGGTCCTGGGCGTTGATCAGGTCGGTCGTCGTGTCGACTGTTGCGGCGGTGGTCATGCTCTGGAAGCGCGTGATGGCGAATGGGGTTGGCACGGGGGTGCGTGTGCCGAATGGCGCGTGATGGCGAATGGCTCGTGATGGCGAATAGGTTGCAGCGTATGCCCAATCTGATGTGCGTGAGCATATGCTGCGTTGTTGCGCAAGCACGGCGACCGGCGTTGGTAGGTCGTCGCAGGTGTCGCCGATATCTGTTAAGTCCGCATCATGGTGAGGTGGTGTTTGTCGAAATGGGCGAGCAGTTTTTGCAGCTGGGTTATGTGTAGGGGAACGAACAATGACATAAACATAAAAACTCGGAGGTCCGCGCGAATGTCTCGGATCGGCGCCTCCGGCGCCGCCCCTGGCGCGCTCCGCGCCAGGGAGGAGGGTCCAGCGCGGATCCACGAAAGCAGCGCGGACCTCCGAGTTTTTTTTGTTTATGTCAGTTTTCGTTTCCCTGATGTGGAATAGGCGTGCTTCTCGCAATCCTGGATACCGGAGGCCGTAGATGAGCAATGCCTCGACGTAGCTCATGAGTCGGTCGTATTCGAGGCGAACGTAGGGGTCGAGGCCAGTGTCCAGGTCGTAATGGTTGGCGGTTGGCGGTGTCACTCATGCTGAAGAAGTATTGTGATATCATCTTTCGAGCATTGATCTTTCAGGATGAGGTCTCACCATCGTAGTGGATGTTGTTGATGTTGTTGGTCAGGCGCTCGATGAAATCTTGGTGGCATTCGCTTCGGTCAGATCCAGATGTCATGCCTTTTGGTGGCTGTCCAGTCGGATGTCTTGCTTGCTCGACTACTGTGTCCAGGTACCTCCTTGCCAAGGCCTTGACAGTGTCACAGGCGCCTTGTGTGGTGGCATCGTCGCGTGGCCGTCTTTGCCTTGGCGTGTCGTGAGTTCGCTGGTGCTTTTGGGCGGTTTGGCGGGCGCTCGCTTGGATGGAACGTCTTGGTATGGTAGTCGTGGTTCCGTGGGGCCACTTGAGGTACCGCCTCCACCGTAGTCAGTGCCTTGCTGTTGTACAGAGCAAAGTGCACTGGTGATTGGTGGTGCCTTGTAGTGTGGTGGCCATTGCGTGGCTGGAGGTGTCGCTCCGTTGGCCGTCGGCGCTGCTGCTGCCAGGGTCGGTATAGCATTCAGTCGGGCATGTCCCTCTACAGGGTGAACATTAAAAGATAATCGAACAATCATCTTGTGCCGATTTTTCATGCTGTGCTCATGATTTTCCCACCTCCGCCGGCGCGCGCTGCTGGTCGGCCTTCGGTTCCCCGTGCGTTCGTGGTCGAGGTGCAGCTGTTGAGAAGCGGCCTCTCGATGACTTCTTGGGGGTGTTTGGGAGCCAACCTTGGTCGTGGTCAAGACGCCTCTTGCTTCTCGATGGCTTTTTGGGGGTATGTTGGGGCCAAGCCAATCTTAATCGTGGTCAAGACGCATCCTTGGTTAGGCTTCCTGCTGTGTCTTGGGGGGGCTCCGAAAAGGGGTTCTTGGGGGCCTTCTGGGGCCTCTTGCGGGCCTCTTCGGGCAAAAGCTCGATATGGCCAGGACTCTCAGGTAGTCTTGGCGCTCTCTTGGGCTGCTTTGGGGCCCCGTTGGAGATCCTGGGGCCGTCTTGGAGTGGTCTTGGTAGCCTCTTGGGCCGCCTTGGAGCATCGGGAAGGTGAAAAGGCGAAAGCGCGAAACATTCTTCGAAAGCCGGTGGGAAAACCATGAATGTTGCCTCTTGGGGCTCTTTTGGGAGGGCTCTTGGAGGCCTCTTCGGGCGTTTATGAGGCCTCGTGTTCCATCCAGGGGCTATCTTGGGCGTCTAGCAGCGATCTTGTGGCGTCTCGGGGTTCAATTGGACCATCTTGATGGTTTCTTCGGGGTCGCTCCGCTTTTCTTCCAGGAGCAACGCCATCTCTGGGGGGACCGTGCCGGGGACCTGCCCGGGGCACTTTTTGCCCCGGGACCCCCAGGGGCCACCCCGCGCGCGCAAACTCTCTTTTTCTTTGTTGTGTTTGTTTTTCGCTCTCTCTCTCTCTCTCTTTCTCTCTCTCTCTCTCTCTCTCTTTCTGTCTTTCTCTCTCTCGCTCTCTCTCTCTCTCTCTCTTTTTTGTCTCTCTCTCTCTCTCTATCTATCTCTCCTTTCTCTCTGTCTATACCTACTATGTATGCTTGCATGCTTGTATGCATGTATATGTCTATGCATGCATGTATATGTGCATAGTGTATATGTATGTATGTTTGTATGTGTACATGCATGCATGTGTGTATGCATATATGGATGTATGGATGTGTATATGTATGTGTGTATGCATGTATGTATGCATGTATGCATGTATGCATGTATGTATGTATGTATGTATGTATGTATGTGTGTATGTATGTATGTAAGTGTGGGTGTGTTGTGTGTATGTATGTCTGTCTGTCTGTCTGCCTGCCTATATGTATGTATGTATGCATGTGCGTGTGTGTATGTATGTATGCATGTGTATATATATATATATATGTGTATGTAGGTATGTGTGTATGTAGGTATGTATGGACTGTATGTATGTATGCATCTATGTATGTATGTATGTGTGTGTATGTATGTCTGTATGTATGTATGTATGTATGTGTGTATGCATGTGTGTAGGTATGTATGTGTGTGTATGAACGTACGTATGTATGAATGGATGGATGGATGGATGTATGCATGCGTGCATTCATGTATGCATGCATGCATGCATGTATGTATGTATGCATGCATGCATGCATGTATGTGTATATGTATATATGCAGGCATGGATTTATGTATGCATGCATGCATGCATGCATGCATGTGTGTGTGTATGTATGTATGCATGCGTGCATGTATGCATGCATGCATGTATACATGTATGTGTGTGTATGTATATATGTATGTATGTATGTATGTATGTATGTATGTATGTATGTATGTATGTATGTATGTATGTATGTGTGTACATGTATGTATGTGTGTACATGTATGTATGTATGTATTCATGTATAGGTATGTGTGTATATGTATGTATGCATGTATGTATGTATGTGTGTGTATGTGTGTATGTATGTATTTATGTATGTATGTATGTATATATCTATATAACCTATATATATATATAGCTAAATGTATATATCTATCTATCTATATTTTTATCTATATATCTAGCTATCAATCAATCAATCTATATATCTATCTATCTATCTATCTATCTATATATCTATCTATATCTATATATCTATCTATATATCTATCTATCTATCTATCTATCTATCTATCTATCTATCTATCTATCTATCTATCTATCTATCTATCTATATGAGATGTATGGGTGGGTATATTGATGGATGGATGGATGGATGGATGGATGACTGGATGGATTGATGTACGTACGTACGTGTGTACGTGTGTATGTCAACATGTAATTATATATGGGCAAGTACTGCTTGCCTGTTATCGGAGATCTCAGCACGCCTCTGACCCGTTGGGCTGACGAATGCACATCTCCGCTGCCAGGCGGCGGACATGCGGGAGTGGTTGCCTCGGGCTCGCTCCTCGCCCTCCTCGCTCCCCCCCCCGATGGCCCCCTGCTGGGCGCCCCCCGAGGACCCCCCCGCGCCTTGTCGGATGCAGTGCCGACTTCGCCCTGGTCCGAAATACGGCTGCTCAATCTGGCTTGTTCCCAGCTGGTCCCGCTCAATCCGGCTCGATTCGGCTCAAGTCCGCCTCAATCCGCGGCCCAGTCCGGCGCAACAGCCCCCCAGTGGGGCTTGATGCTCCTTGGTCCTTCCGACGAGAGCTTCCCAGCAGTTGCCTCGCACCCCCCCCCCACCCGAATGGACCCCCGCGGGCTCCCCCCGAGGAGCCCCGCGCCTCCTCGCTGTTCCCGCGGGCCTCCGGGCTCATCGAGAGCCTGCGGCGCCAGGCGCGCGCGCGCTTGCCCTCTGCGCCCTGGCGCGGCCAGGCGAGGGCTCCGAGGCCCCGACGAAGACTGGAGCGCACGGTTTTGGGGGTCGGCGTCGGCCTCTGGGGCCCTCGGCGGGGCGAGCTCTGAGCAGCACGACGAACGAACGACGGGTGGGGGAGGAGGAGGAGGAGGAGGAGGAGGAGGAGGAGGAGGAGGAGGAGGAGGAGGAAAAAGCACAGCGGCAGGTGTTTCCGTATTTTCAGCCTCCGGGGGCCTTTGCACGGCCTCGAGGGTGTCAAAAAACGGTTCGGGACGACAAGCTGGCCCCAGGGAAGTGGTCCAGATTTCTGGGGGTCCACGCATCGAAAATATTTGAGTGCCGATTCGGTTTTTCCCGACTTGGTTGCCGATGTCCCCCGATCCGATTCATGTCGATTGCCGGTCCCAATTTTCGAGCAGGGGATAGACTACAGGTTTCTGTTTTGCCCCAAAATTGATGTTCTCGTCGAGTCCAAGAGGGGTGCGCAGAATGTTCGTAGATCGACGAACATTATACACCTGATTCGACGAGAAAATCAGTTTTGGGGTGCAACAACGCTGTAGTCGATCCCCTACTCGAGACTTCTCGATTCTGGGCCCTCCTGGAGGGAGGCCCGGGTCCGATTGCGAGGGAGGAGAGGGGCAAATGGGGGGCGGGGGCGTCCATCCGATGAGGTGCCCTCGGAGAAGCCTTCTATCAGCGGCGCGCCCGGGGGGAGGTAAGAGGGGGCGGGCCGCCTCAGAAGGCTCGGAAGGCTTCCGGCCCTCTGCGAAGGGTTCCGAGCATCCCCCGAAGACGCGGAGCACTTCTCAGAGGGCCAGAGGGCTCCCGAGAAGTCCAGCCGCCTTCTGAGAAGGCCTCCTCCTGTCGGGCCGGACGACGTGGTAGGACAAGGTAGAGGGGGAGTATGAAATCTCTGCACGCAGCTGGTATCCGCTCCGCCGCGGTGCTCATTCCTCGATACATGGGCGCCTCCCGGCGCCAGGAGGCGCTGGGAGAACCCAGCTGCGTGAGCTGATTCCCTACCCTGCCCTTTGCTATCCTGCCCCTTCGCTCCCCGATCCTTCTCACTTGCCCCCTTCGCTCGCCGATGGTTGTGGTCCCCTTTGGAGGGCCAAACCTACCTGCATCTAGAAGACCAACATCTGGGGACGATGCCAAATACCGGTCCCCCGTCCTAGCCAAAAGCGTCTCTGGAGATATTGGGTGCCGTGACGACGTCCATAGACACTTTCGGGGCGGATCCGTCTATGGACAACGCGTGGCCGTTGCGTTCGGCGCGGTACAAGGTCGGAGAAAGGGGATTCTGGATGGGACAATCATCGCCCCCCGCTTGGATCCGCTGGGGGGATTGGGCACGTGCTGTCGGAACGGGCGGAGAGGGGCTTGAAGGAGGAGGAGAAGGAGGAGGGGGAGGAGGATGAGGAGGAGGAGGAGGCGGCGGAGGAGGGGGGGGGGGATGGGCAAGCTCCGTCGGAAGGTTGGTCGCCCACCCCTCGATTCATATCCCCTCCAAAGCAGGTCCGTCTTCGGAGCAAGTCCAACATGGTGCTCCGAGTTCCCGCGCCCGGGCTCCATCCCCGGGCGGGTGCCCACCGGCGGGGCGCCCCCCCCCCCCCCCAAACCCCCCTGGGCTGCAGCACTCCTGGCGGCGGGGCCTCCCGGCACGCGCGGGCCAGAGGTGCAGGGCAGGAGGGAGGCAGGAGCAGGGCAGGAGGGGAGGGAGGGAGAGAGAGGAAGGGGACAACAGAAGGGGGGGGAGGGAGGGGGAGAGAGGGAGGGGGAGGGAGGGAGGGGGAGGGGCGGAGAGGCAGGGGGGTGGGGGGGGGGGCAGGGAGGGCGTTGAACTGCAGGCCTCTGGTCCTGACTCCCGAGTGCCGCGCAGCTTTCTGGGGGCAGGCTCATTAGCTACATCTCGGTTGTCGTCGCTTCGTGTCCCAGGGAACCCAGGGAGGGAGAGGGCGGGAGGGAGAGGGAGGAAGGAGAGGAGGGAGAGGTAGGGAGGGAGAGGCGAGCAGGAACGGAGGGCCGAGGAGGAGGAGGAGAGGAGGGGAGGAGGGAGGAGGAGGGAGGAGGAGGAGGAGGAGGAGGGAGGAGGAGGAGGAGGAGGAGGAGGAGGAGGAGGAGGAGAGGAGGAGGAGTGAGGAGGAGGAGGAGGAGGGAGGAGGAGGAGGGGAGGAGGAGGAGGAGGAGGAGGAGGAGGAGGAGGAGGAGGAGGAGGAGGAGGAGGAGGAGGAGGAGGAGGAGGAGGAGGAGGAGGGGGAGGGAGGGAGGGAGGGAGGGAGGGAGGGAGGGCAGGGAGGGAGGGAGGGAGGGAGGGAAGGGAGGGAGGGAGGAGGAGGGAGGGAAGGGAAAGGGAGGGAGAGGAGGGAGGGAAGGGAGGGAGGAGGGAGGGAGGGAGGGAGGGAGGGGGGGAGGGAGGAGGGAGGAGGGAGGGAGGGAGGGAGGGAGGGAGGGACGGGAGGGAGGGAGGGAGGGAGGAGGGAGGGAGTAGGAGGGAAAGGAAGGAGGGAGGGAGGGAGGGGAGGGACGGGAGGGGGGAGTGGAGGGAGGGATGGGAGGGAGGGAGGAGGGAGGGAGGGAGGGAGAGAGGGGAGGGACGGGAGTGAGGGAGGGAGGGAGGGAGGATGGAGGAAGGAGGAGAGAGGAGGAGGAGGAGGAGGAGGGAGGAGGAGGAGGAGGGAGGAGGAGGAGGAGTGAGGGAGTGAGGGAGTCTGGGCCATCCAGATGTGGTAGGAGGATCGCGCCGATCGCCGATGCATCGCCGATGCGGCTCGATGTGGAGCCCGATTTGCTTCACGCCGACGTCTCCGATGCGTCGTCGGTGTATCGGCGATGCGGCATGATCCTCCGACCCCATCTTCTCCGACCCCATCTGGGAGGCCTCCAGGGAGGAGGATTGAGAGGTGGCAACAGTTCAGGCGGAGTGTCCGTTCGGCCGCGCGGGCTACCAGCGCCCGCCGCGCCCACCTCATGTTGTGGGAGGTGCGGGTTGTGGATCAGGGGATGGAGTGTTCTCTCCCTGGCGCGGTCTGTGAGGGCCCCGACTGGAAAACAAAACGGCAAGGGGTGATAGGGGGGGCGAGGGTCGCCCATTTCTGCACGCGCGCAGCAGGGAGTGGGACTGGGAGGGGGAGGGGGGGAGGGGAGGGATGTGAGATTTCCGAGATGGTGCTGGGGGTGGTGGTGGCTGAGCCATTGTGCCCAAACGGCCTGGCTCCTCGAAGCATGAGCCCAACATTCCGCTACCAATCCGTCATCGCAAGTGGTGGTTTGCGGGGCGGGGGTCCTGCGCGGAACGCCTGCATCACGGTGCAACCAGCACGCATACAGTGGAGATCGATGCCAAGAAACACCCTCCATCCAGGGTGCCCTGGGTTTCTTGGGATTTGATGGTTCTGCCTTGGAAAGCGTGACGTTCCCACACTAAACATCGATGGACATTCATGGGTCTTTGGGTTGGGTTTCTTGAGGAAGAAGTATGTGTTGTCGAGCCCCTATGGTATTATACGAACTGGTGGTTAGACCTGTGGGGTACTTTCTCATTGCGCAATCAGACAGCAGTAACCAACATCGCACTGATCGCCAAGCGGTTCGTGCCAAGGAATAGTCAAGGAAGGATGCGTTGAGACAACGGTGGTTCGCCTTTTGTGGGGCCCTCGTCGCCACGGCTGGTTGCAGCTCAGAAAATTTGTCAGTGATGTCCTTGGGAGGCGTCTGGGGACCGATGTTGAACAATTTCTGTTCATCCCTCCTTTTGGCCGATCTTCACTGGGCTTATCCAGCTCAGACCCCCCGGCTGCCACCAAGAGTAGAGGGATAGGGTCGGACGGGCCTCAAATCGAGATAAAGCCGTCCCAGAGCGTTCGGGAATGCTTTCAGAGCGTCGTTCTGGAACGCTACGAAACGACAGCGGCGCCCCACACATCCTCTAAGCTCGTCGATTCTTAGAGATATCCGATTTCTATCGGTCCGATGTTGTTTCGATCCTTTCTTCATCTTATAGGGAGGGAGAGGTTGAGATGACGAGGAAAAGGATGGAAAGAAGAAGGTGGAAGAGGAACAGGAGCAGGAAACGGCGCAGGAGGAGAGTCCAGACGAGGAGGGTATGGTTACACCTGGGTGTGGTTTGCGATCGGCACCGTGGGGGCCTGGGGAGAACGAAGCTCTCATCGTCGGGCCTCCTCGGGGCGAGGCGGAGAGCTCTGTCGAGGTCCTGGCCCGCCCCCCTGGGTGCCCCCCAATGTGCCTCGGAGGGGGATAGACCTCCTACCCTGACACGTCGATTAAGGAATTGGCCGTTTTCGGTTCGCGAGAGGGCGTCGCGGCCGTCATTTTTGCGGGTCCAGGTCCGTCGATTTCGGTCCCAGGTCGTTTTCACTAAGGGGAGGTTTACTAAAGGGAGGTTTGTCCAGCGCCGAGTGCCGGTTGCAAACCACATGCTTTGCAAACCACAGCCTTCGGAATCGCCGACATGAGAGCACGGAATGGTAGTGAGGGGCTGGTCTGGGTTGTGCAGGAGCACACCTTTCAAATCGCAGCGCGCCGCGCCGGACCCATCGGTCATATGCTCACTTGCGGGGGGACCAACAGGGAGAGAGAGGAAGTGTTTCTGGTCCGTTGTCTTCTCGTTAGGGGGTCCCGGGATGGGTGTGCTCAGGAGAAACGGCAGACAGAGGAGGTGCGGGTGGGACCCGGAAGTGGTGGGGCGGGGATGGCGGGCAGTGGCAGACGTGGAGAACGGGGGGAGAGGGAGAGGAGGGAGGAGAGGGGGTGGATCAAGCTAGGTGCGCTCGCGTCATATCTGAAGTCCTACCCCTCCCTCCCATCCCTTACCATGGCGCTGATTTTCTCTATCCGCGGACGCATGTCGTAGCGGACTTGTGGCTCCGCGCGCGCGTGCGTAGTGGGTGGTGGTGCGCGTGCGTGCGTGCGTGCGTGCGTGCGTGCGTGCGTGCGTGTGTGGTTGTGGTGGTGG